GTCAAACAAGGCATATAGAGCATGTCCAAAGCAAGTTATCATACCAGTGACAACATCAGTAGCGGCCTCCGCTGCATCTCTAGTCAAAGCGCGTAGTCCCGCCTGATTCTGGCTTCCTGCTCCCCGTCCCATGGGTTGCTGACTCGGTCCACCCCCTGGATAGGAGTTAGCTCCCGGTCCTCGAGATCTAGGACGTCCTCCCTGCCTTGATGCTCCCCTAGAAACTCCCGCCGATGGGGTTCTCGGGCCCTGAACAGATCCCACTGACGGTGCTGGTGCTCGGGCGAGTTGTGGGCACTGTGGTCAGGTATGACCAGCCTGGCCACACTCAAAGCAGATGATCCTACCTTGAGGCAAGTTATTACATCGCCCAAAGTGCATCTTCCCGCAGGTCGGGCATGGTGGATACCCAGCGGGTCCCGTCCTGGTCGGTGGAGCTGAATATGTCACCCTCGGCCTGGGATCGTATTGCCCTCCCCTTCGGGTGTGCTGGGTGAAACCGGCCGAGTGACTCGGTTGGAAAAAAGCCTTCCTCTTCCTATCACCTGGCCTCTCCTTCCAAGACTCCTTCTTTGCCTTCTCCAGGTTCTCTTTCCTCAGGGCAGCCTGCTTAATGGCATTCAAGCTTACCATATCAGCTGAGGAGACTCCCTCCTGGATGGTGTATCGGAGACCGCGAAGGAACCTCATGGCCAACTTCTCGTCTCGATCTGTCTCAATCTCACACCACTCCGATAGCTCGAAGAATTTGATGTAGTAAGACAATACAGACATCTCCCCCTGCTTAAGTTCATCGAACTCCCGCTGTTTCTTATATATCCACTCCGGTGGAAAGAAAGTCGCCCGAAACATAGCCATAAAATCATGGTACGTCAGAAGCGGAGGATAGACCTGCCCCTCCTCCTGAGAGCCCCACCAGGTCAAGGCATGGCCTTTAAGAAGCATAACCATTGCTTGGAGCCTCTGCTCCTCATCATATCCCATGTAATCGAACTGAATGCGCGATTCCTTCAACCACATTGCCGTTTCTTGGGGATCGTCACTATCCCCTCGAAACTCCTTCAGCCCATATTTCTTAAGTTGGGGAAACTCCACCCTGATGGGTGGTGGTAGAGGTGCTAACTGAACATTACGAGGGCCCACACTGTTCCGGTCACTACAAAGAAAGAAAAAGAAACCAAACTTTAGTTTTCTTCAACAAAAACTCCTTCCAAAGATCATTTCTCAATTCCTCAAAAAATTTAAAAATCATTTTCAAAATATTTTTGTCACAATTGATCCCATTACCCAGAAAGTCTCGGTGCAAATACGAGTATGGAGTACCTTCACCCGACTGAGGGTAGCTAATCCTCACGAGTTAAGGTAACATACTTATAGTGCAGCGAACTAACCGAGCTCTGATACCACTTGTAACACCCCACCCATAATCTCTATGGTTGAACCCGTGGTTCAACCGCGCAGCCAAATCATCGGTGTTACTGGTTGAACTCGATCATCTCAAACATCATATCCGATAATTAAACACAAACATAAACCGTTATCATACAAACTCATTATTCGAATCCCAACCCACTTATTGAATTTTTACAAATGTGGGTTTATTATTCAAACACTCAAAGCAAAAATCCTAGGTGACCATGACAGAACAGTGTTCCAAACTACCTCATGATGGTAGTACAGAAGGATAGGGCAGCCTCAGTAGTCCGATCCTAGTTGCACCTGCGAGCCTGAAAACAGACGTGGGTCAGCAACTAAGCTGTGTGTGTGGATCTTTCCCACGACCAAATTTTGGGACCGCAATCAGCTAATCAAACAATCATAATTTATTACTCTAGATGCCATCTTAAATCATCATATATAAATTACCGATCAAATTATCGAATCCACCAACTCATCATCACCAAATCAATTTATCCAATAAGATAATCACGTAATTTCACGAACACATAATCAATGCATGATATGAAAATTCCGGTTAATTATTAATGGCGCCAAGGTCACCATACACTTACCCCCGCTCGAGCAAATCATCATCCGTGGTGCTCATGCAACCACAACACTCAATCCGTGGTTTTTAACCACAACACTCATCCGTGGTGCTCATGCAACCACAACACTCAATCGCATAAGCGAGCTAAATCTACCCACTCTCAAGGGGTGAGGGTAAGTGCAGGCCCTTTCTATGTCTACGTGAATTAATATGATCACGAATCAAACTATTTCCATTTTTCTCATCCATCACAATCAATCCGGAATCAATGTAGTCTCACGGATTGACCAAATCCATATATATATTTCCCGTCGATTATCAACTCGACGTTTCAAAAAAAATCAACTGTTTCATCATCCAATACCGAATCACATAAATCATTTCATTCTCCAATAAAGCTACTCAGCAGTACCATGTCACCATTCCTCATCCAAAATTTATCAACAATTTCACGAAATAGCGCCAACGCAAATAATTATAAATAACCCGATTGCGGTTAAAAATATCCTTAACTCAAAATTCACTTTCCTTCATTAAAATCCTCACAAAATTCATGTAAATGAATTTATTGACACAAAAATCCATTTAATCTAGTTCTGTTCATAAAAATCAATTTAGACAATAAAATATCAAAAATCTCGTATTAACCATTATTTTACGATAAATTAAATTCCAACAAAACGGTAAATCCAAAAATCTCCCAAAACTACAAGAACCTCCATTTATCATCATAAAATAGGTCTGTCCAGTTTTTATATTTTTCAACTGCTCAAAACCATGAAAATAATATTACACTCGGTATTTATCGCAAATCTCGTATTAAGCTCATTTTTACCGTTTTAAAGATAAAAACCCCACCAACTGTCTAATTTACCCTTTTCAGACCAAAAACCATTTAATAATCCACACTGACCATTTTGAAGTGATCCAAATCTTAAAGATAAATAAAAACACGTTTTTACCGAGCTTTTCGTAAAATTCACCGTTATGCAGTTTTTAATCCGAAAACCATTTTCAAGTGAAATATTTTGCTCAACCTGCCCCAACCTCATTTTAGAGAAACAAAAATCTCTTAAATCAGTTTTAGACTCAATAAACCCAACTATTCATTTTTACGGGGAAACTTGCCAAATATCGATATTTACACCGTAAAATCCATAACAATCAAGAATAATCACCAAATCATCATATCAACAAATAAGTCATCACCCACAGTAATCCATCCATCCAAATATGCAAATCAAGCATAAATAATCGATGCAATAATTAAGGTCCTCTTAATCCCCACACACCTTAATTTAGCTGATTCCAAGTCGGGAATTAAGTTCTAAAATTCCAGAGATTGGCTCCTAAAAATTCTCCTTGTTTCTACGGTCCTGTAGGCGAAAACGGTTCGTCGTTTGGACGTCAAACGAAGAAACTGCGAGCTAATCATCGTTAGTACGAAATTAGGGATTAGTTCTTAATTTTCTGCTGTCCAAAATCTGCAGAAAACTGGAAATTCCCTTACCTCAAGTACCAACTTCCCGGCCTTGTTTCTCACTTGTCTGAGCTCGGAATTCAATTCCGTAAACTCTGTGATGCTCGTGGTGACTTGCTCTTCGTAGCGGTATCAAGCTTCGAAGCTGATGCTGCCTATAGTGGCACTGGTTTGGTTGACGAAAAGGTTACGGCAAATGTTTCGGTAAAGGATATTTGGTGAGTTGGTTTGGTGATTTTGGCTTGTAAACAGGTTTGTATAGGTTCTAAACCTTTGCTGGGAATACAGAGACTATGCTAGGCTTTGGTTTCATATTATTTCTTTTCTTTTCTCCTCTTGGTGTTTGTATGAAGGCAAAAATGGAGAGCTAGCTTACCGGTATAATAGAGCTCTTTGATTCATGCTCTTACCTCTTCATTCACTTTCCAGCAGATGGAGTAAAGGCCTGGGGCGGCCTTCTAAGGAGCAGTAGCTTTGAAAGGAAGAAACTCAAGTTCCAAAGCCGGCTCCATAAACAAGCTAGCTGCTGGTGCAATGCCGACGTCATTAGCTCATTAATGACTCAGCTCCTTTTGTATCATCGAAACCAGCATAGTCTAACTGGTTATGTTGCTAAACCCTTCCTTACTGACCAACAGGTTAGGGGTTCGATTCCTGCAGCCAACGATATATTTTTGTTGCACTTTTTGCTGTTTGGGGAGTTTTTAAGTGATTTCGTTGATCCTACCTCGTATAGGATAACTTCTCGATTTTTTTTTCAGTCTCAAAACGTGCAATATATGTCCGCTACTTGGGAAAAAAAATTATCCGATGTTCGGGATGTTACAACTTGGGACTTCGGGGGAACTTGAGCCCAAATATGATTATTCAAGTGCCCCTAGTTCTTCTGGCATAGCATTTTCCCAGTTGGGGTCCCCTTTTGTTGCATGATAGTTGGCTAGAATGGGGATAGCCTCGGCCAAAAAACCAACATAATCATGGGATCGAGGAGGCGGGCTAACCTATAGTGGAAGGATTTGATCTTCGAATAAGTGGGGTCTGCTATTCATCAAGAATAGGTGGAATAATATCTCCTTCAAGTGTTGACTGATGAGACAAAGCAGAGCTAGAGCCTATAGACCCGCAAATAACGAGCCCGCAGTTGGAGATAGTGAGGCAGATGAGTTCGACGAGGAATCATGAGCTATGGAAAATTTATCGGAAGGCGTTCCTAGAGGGGATCACATAAAATTAGATGAAGAATGCCCTTCCTCACTATTTCCTGCCAATGGTTGTGTGTAAATATTCTAAAAAATAGGCAGTGAATATAAGAAGTTGAGTCCTACCAACACTGTATTCTTTGTCTTGGGGAACAGAACATCAATTGTTGAAGAAAAACTACCTGACATGATGTACGCACTCGACGAGATCAAGGATCAAAGAGCATTGATTTTCCATATTTATCGCGACAACACCTTGGATTTGCTATGTGTGTTGGAGGACTGCTTTTTTATCGTTATACGCTTATGCTACCATATTGTGCATTTTCAGGTCAAACCAAGCTAGAGCCCACTTGGGAGCATGATGCTTGACTGCTGATAGAAAGACTCGAAAAGGAAACCAAGGTCCACAAATGGCACCCAAATCAGAGACCCAAGATCAAAAAATGATGTCGTGGTTTATATTTTGGGAAGAGCCCAAACTTCATCAGAAAGGCATCCAGAATTATCTTGAAGTAGTATTTGCACCAAGGAATTTTTCTGATTGGTTGGATGATGCATCAAGGTAGAGCCTTCCTTCCCAGAAACTTTAATCCATAGGTTTTAGAACACGACAGCCACGATAGGAGGTAGTTAGAGGGTTGCTACTCTTCCGCTAGAGTACCTCACCCAACTTAGAGCAAAACCGGTTACGAGGGAAGGAACAATGTCAGATTGGGCGACACAAACCTTGATTTCTCTATTCCTACCGCCATTTCAGTGGTCTTCTGGGATCTCCTTTTCAATTGATGGATCCCTAGAAACCCATCTCCATGGCCGACTAGTTCCCTTAGTTGCATAGGTTTGTGAAACCTAGAGGTTCTAGACATGTAAACTCGATGTTTGGTATTCAATACGACTGATTTATCTTGCTATCTTTTGCGTCTGATTTCATCTGTGTTGTCTTTTGATAATTTGAATGAATGCCTAGTCGAGATTGCATCCCTTTGTGGTGCAACCATTGAAACCCTAGTCACCTAGAATAAGACCAGACATGGCAGTTCTATCTGATTAATTGATCATCAGTCGACCAAATGGTGTGACGCCTCAAGGGAGCACTCTGTAGGGTCCTTGTCGCCCATTAGTTCATGTAAATGCTTAGACACAAAGGGAGATTAGACGACATAAGAAATCAACAACTTGTATGTTGCAGTATCGAGAGTACGTGTCTAGGAACTCTAGGGGGAGTTGCAGGTTCAATGTCTTCCTCTCATGTCTTCTTCACTCCCCTAGTAGCTATAGATTTCCTTTCCTGCACTTTTCTTTCTTTTACTTTTCCCTTGCAAAATCGGAGGCACTTCAACTTCCTACTATACTTTCTCCAATCATAGAATTTGTCCCTCACCACCTGTGTAAGTAGTTGTGATAGATCCTAGAGAATACAATTATGGTCTCCGGGCCAGGTAAATTTGACACCACCTACTATGTCAATAATCTTCTTTCTTGAACCTATTGGTTTCACAATTCTCATTAATTGTAGAAGTGGAGAGAAACTCACTTAAATATTATCATATGTATCAAGAGATACATCACATTCATATATGATCGTCTATGTCAATCTTTAAAATAGATAAAATAATTGGTAATTGATGTTATTGATAGATCACTATTTTCATAGTGAACTTTATAATCATTCTGTTTCATTGATACTTTTACCATTCTTATCATTTGAGCATCTTTATATATTTCTTGATGCACATGATTGTCATTATAAAAGTTTGAATCAGGATCCAAATTATAGTCTTGTCCTTTTAAGTCATTGATTTTAGTGACTTATGTTGAATACTATTTTAGAGTTCTCTTTCAATAACTTATTACCTTTGAATACACTTTTAGAGTTTCAAGCTTATTTATCCCTTTGAATATCTTATTGTCTTTGAATACTCTTCTAAATTTACAAGCTTATTTATATCATGCATCTCAACTTGATATCATTGTTTACATATATGTCGAGGCCTCAAATTTGTCAAAGAATCCGTAAACACATTGTCACAAAAAGCTTGGTAACTTCAACAAATGATTCTTTGTCAAAACATATGAAGCAATCATTATAAGGTACTCTAGGTAAATGCAATTGCTTGTCTCGACCGGATGGTGTTGAAAATGAGATCATTTATATTTTTATCTTTCGTAAGAAGTTAATCGAAAGTATTATTTTGTTGATACTAATTTGATTTATTTTGGGGGTATTTAAAGTACTTTAATAATATTCTTAAGAATCTTAACATGCTTGCTTCGAGCAAACCAACTCATTCAGAGAGTTTAATATGAATATCATCATCAAGTATGCTTTATAAGTGCACTTACCATAGCAACATTCATTAGACGAATATATAACTTTCTATATACTGCCAAATCCATATCCACCATATGAGAAAGTCTCCTCACAATCAATGTCAAATATTTTTGTGAAGTCTCTTATGGCAATTCGAGCATGATATCTCTCAGTTTCTTCCCCTTTGTCATGTCTTTGTAAAACATCATATGTGCTTTACGAGCATTACATATGCATATGTGAGTACATCTTACAAGACTTCTTACTTTGCAGGTAAGTTTATAATTGACTCAAATACATTATTACAATTTTGTCCAATCTCTTGTTTATAGCGAGCAACAGACCTAAATACATTATTCTCATTGTTCAATTATCATATTGTGCGCTACAATATTTAAAAATTTAACGTCAATGTTGACTTTTTTTATTCAATTGAATCCAATCTAAGATATTATTATTTGGAATCTCTTCCATTTTTCCAAAACAGACTATGTGGTTCTTCCAAACCAATATTATAATACTTGGAGATTAGAATAGGGTTACAATATCCTCGTCATAAAGATCATTTTTATTCTTAGCACCTTTTCTTCCTTGAGCACTTGTATTTCATTAGAATCAAAAGTTTCCACACATTACATGTGTTTGTAACATTTCTTTCAGTGAAAGAAATCTTAAGAGAATTATGTTTGGCTAAGGGTTTATCCCATCATGAGAGGATTAAGCACATAGACGTGAAGTATCATTTCTTGAGAACATAAGAGAGGATTAAGGTGAAGAATGTGGGAGCTGCTGATATGCTCATAAAGCCGGTTACACATGGACAATTCCAACATTGCTTGGACATGCTGAATGTTCTGGATTGTTGATGCCGTTAGGGGCATGCTGAGGTAGGCGTAAGTATGAGTACACATGGTATTTGCGGGAGAATTTAAGACAAAATAGAGATTTGTTGCTATGACTTGAAGATAGATTATCTGGCATCGACTGGAAGTCTCGAGGGTTTTGTTGCCTAGTCAGCAAGTCGGGTCCAGAGCAAAGCGCCCGATTTGGGGGTTCTAGGAAAGCTCCCCAATCAACGGTGTATGGGCTTATACACATTTGTTTACTGTTTTGGGCATGGTATGTAACATTTTTAATTTCTAGGTTGAATTAGGGTTATGCCGTGTGGAGAAGGTGCTAAATCTTCCTTCTCAATCCATGTATTATGTATCTCTTCAAGTATAGTGAAACTGGTATCTCATCCCCATGGATTAGCTAACACACATCAGTTAGTGAACCAAGAAATTTGTATGTTCTTTACTTTCTTGGATTGTCGATTTCCCAAACCCTTTACAACAATCTAACTCTTAACGCCTTATCAATTAAGTTGACGTGATGTTACTCGTTATTAATGACATTATCAGCCAACATGATAATAATGGTATGTGTTGCACATAGAAACACCAACTAAAAAGCGCATAAAATTGTTCCAAAACGAATACTTGGAATCCAAATTTGAACATGATACCGAAAATAGCCACCAACTGGAGGGAGTAGATAATTAGATAGGTTTGCATGTCCATGGAGAGAGAGAGAGAGATAGAGAGAGAGAGAGAGAGAGAGTTTGCCGATGAGGTACCAAGAGATTTAGGATTTTTCAATCATGGAAGTTTTCAGTGAGTCGAACTGTGTCTCTTGGGGAAAAGCATTATTGTCACGTAGCCATTGAATTTTGGGAAAGGGTAGTCGACAGTCGCACGACCTCCTCCTCACCTTCCCGTGCCACACTCATCGCTAGAACCAGGATGAGGGGTGCATTGGTAGAGCTTTTGGATGAACACAAAGAAGATTTTAGGGAGGATTGAGATGGCGTTCACATTGGCGAGAAATTTGATTTCTTGTTCCTTGGGATCCTAATTTGACAAGTACGATGACTGTGTCCTAGAGGACGATGGTATCATTGGCACAAAGAAAGATGATGCGAACTCATACAAAACCACATTTGTTATTTTCAATTCCTTAATTTTAATTTCTAATAATTAAATATATAGTTATATTGATCCTTGTTGGATGATAATATACATATCTTTAGCACTCGATCAGTAATTCACATACACATTTTAGCGCATCACGTACCTTTTTTTGATAGGAAAAAAAATGAAGATTTCATCTTCACTAAAATAAAATACAAACTTGCTCATCCCTTTAGCCATTCTAAATCACATTTATTCCTCTCCTTTTATGTGTGTTGAGTGTCGAGAGGGAAAAAATCTCTAACCTCTGCTTCGCAGCTCTCTACCCTCTACTCCACCCTCCAATTGTCTCCATGCGGTTGGAGACGTTAATATTCCCATTTAAACTTCCACGTTGACGCCTTCTGCGACCCTTCAAGATTTCCATTACAATTTTCCCATCTTAAGTTAGGGTGACTCTACCTCTTGCAACTACAATCTGCGAAATGATATTTTTATATATGAGTTATTGCGATCAATTGGGAGGAGAGTGAAAGAAATCAATTGTGAGAAATTGTGAACGGCATGGAGAGGAAGAGGAAAAAACATATTGGGGAGATACCATGGATTAGAGAGGTAGGAGGAAGTAAGGATAAATTTGAAAGAAACAAAAAGGAAATGGGAGATTTCGAAATAGCTAGGTGTGATATGCTATTTCGAAATGTTGTATATGAAGATTTTTGAAATCTCTCAATGATGAAATCTGTTGTTTTGTTTCTTTTCTAAATGAAATATTTTGTCAAAGTTTGGCAGAATGAGAGATTGTAAAGAAATCACTCATTCAAATGAACCTCTAGCTTAGGCAATATATTACCTAAAATGTTCCTTTTTATTTTTTGCTTGAACATTGTATTTTATTTCCAAGATCGAAGATTTGTTACACAACAGGCTTGAACATGTTTTCAATTAGTTTAAGTCTAAAGCATCTCATTAATTACGAGCTTAAGAAATTAATGTTTTTGTTCCACCGTGATCATTCTTGGACACGCATTCCTTTTCACTAATTCATCGTTATCATCACTAAAACATTTCTCCCCATGAATTAAACCAATATCCAAAATCTGTGAAATGAAGCTAGTGCATATCAATTTTGTTCTTTCAGATTTTGACTTCAAAACCACTCAAGTCATAAGAACGATGCAATGGTGAATATCTCAAGCACAAGGGGCAATAGGAAGAAATGGTTGTTGGCGGGAACTGCATTGTTTTTGCGCCTGGCTTCGCAATCGAGACCGTGGTTGCCTTCCTTGAAAGTATTGGCAAAGAGACCTGCAGGGTACTTGCCATAGAGGTTTATGTAACTGAACATGGTTTGCGCACAGTTCGTGCTGGCATCGTTGATCTCGTTGGTATAAGGGCAAGCAAACAGCTTCAGTGCATTACAACATTGGTCTTTCGGGTACAATGGCCCTTTGCATTGCGTCGTCAAGATAGTGTAGTCCATATCTTGAAAGCTCACATTGCAGGCTGCACCAATTCAAATTATCATGTTCCTCTTTTATCAAAATTGTTATTGATTTTCACAAGTAAAAGTATTGTGTCACTTTTTTGGATTATGAAATTGTTTCAAAGAATACATCTCAAATGAAAATTAGGGAGAGGACAATAATAAAAGAACAAATATCCTTGATTTAATTTTCTAATTAAAGATATTTGATTTAGTCCAGAAGAGAAATATCGTTTACCTTTTTTCAATTGAAGCAAGTCCCGATTAGGGCCTCCTCTGGTGAATCGATCACCATCAAACACACCATCTGCAGTAGTTAAATAAATGTTTAGCGAAACAGGGGAAAAAGGCTAACAGATTCAAAAGGAAGGAAAGAAAGGTGTTCTTACTGGAAATGAAACTGGAGTAGGCAAATCCAAAGTGAGGGAAGATGAGGCAAGCTACGCAGCAAAATCACAAATTGATGTGCATCATCTGTTCTTTCATAATAATGTTGGAAAGAAAACAATATATATATTTTTTTTTGAGGTCCTGAAGCAATAATTTGTTGGTGGTAATATGAAATTCTTCCGACTTGGAGAGTTGTAAGTCTCCAAATCGGATTTAAGACTCCAATTAGAAGCCTAAACGCTCAACACTAGCCTCATTCTTTCATCATATAAAGGGATATGGCCTCTTATCGACGTCCCTCCTAGATTTCTGGAATTTATCCCATCTTCTAATTAACCCTTCCTATGTTTAGCAAAGATCCAGTAATTATTGTGGTGTACGTCTGTATCTTGTTGTATTGATTAAAACATTAGCCAAATTATAAGGCTCTATTTGTTTGAAAGAATTTTCAAAATGGAGTGATATCCAAATATTTCCTTTGTGTTGATTCTAATTTCTATCACAGTTTCACTAATAGCCAACAAATTCGATATCAAAACCAATACCCTTATATCCTCTAAAATATTCCCACTTTCTTGTCTAGACATTTCCCCCCTGAAAATAGACAATGACAACAACTTCACCAAACACCATGTTTGCCACCACTTTAAATCAAATTACCATTTTCGATGAGAATTGTACGAGTACTGGAATTCTCAAATGGAGCCTGTTTTATTTAAAAAAAAACTTGGGGATATAATCCAAGAAGGCTATGAAGACCCACAAGAAGAGGAAGAAGACTTCAAGAAGGACTAGACAAGCAGATAAAGGAGTATAAGGAGATGTCATGCAAAATGTAGTGCCCTGCGAATAATTTCAAGAAGCTTGGGATGTCTTACGTTTGATAACTTAATGATGAAGGAAACTGACACCATTAAAAACTTCCATTCTTGTGTGGTTGAGACAGTCAACCAAATCATAGCCACTAGGAATGCCATTAAAGAAAGGAAGATGGTGGAGAGAATTCTCTGCAATTTATAATCAAATTTCAAGCATATTGTTGCTGCGTAGAATAAATCAAAGATTTGGCAAAACTACTAATTAGTGAGTTGAAGGGCTCACTTGTAGCTCTAGAGCAAAGAATGAGCCGCTTCACCAAACAATCATTGGAGCAAGTTTTCGTGAAAAGTCAATATGACGACTAGTAAATATGTAAAATGGGAGCAAGGTCGGAGAGGGAGTAACTCACAAGGATGAGGGAGAGGAAGATCTAATTATAGAGGAAACAACAAGCAAAATCATCAACAATAAAAATCAGGCAACACCAGCTCAAGTTGCATAATTTGGGAAAAGGCGGGTCATGCAAAAACAAATTGCAGATACATTCATCAAGTGCAGAATTGAGATTCATTCCCAAAGAAATTGTTGGTTCCATAACAAGCAAGAAGAAGCCAATTCAACCAACACCCAAAATAAAGAAATTAATATGGTTGCCTTGTCATGCTTGAAGAGTGAGCAAAATGCATAACTTCCCTGGATGGTGGATAGTAGTTGCAGTAACCACATGATTGCAGATATGAAGCCCTTTATCGACATTGATAAAAACTAACTATCTAAAGTCAAATTGGGAGATGGAAAGAAGTTACAAGTGGAAGGAAAAGACACAATTGTTGTATGCATAGAAAAAGGGGACAAAACTCTCATACGAGATGTTTTGTATGCTCCAGAGCTAACTGAAAATCTGTTTAGCGTAGGACAACTTATGCACAAAAGTCACATGGTATTGTTTGAATATTGGCATGTGCGAGATTATCAACAAAGCTGAAAATTTCATGCCGGCCAAAGTCCCGATGACTTCCAACAAATTTTTTTCCCCACAATGTCACAAGATGGTGAAGTAGCATTCAAGAGTGAAAACCTAGATCACTCCTTCCTGTGGCATCTTAGATACGGTCATTTCAAATTCAAAGGCCTCAAATTGCGGAGGTAGAAAATTATGGTGGCCGGAATTCCCTAGATCAGCAGGGAAGACAAAATATGTGAAGGTTGCATATAATGAAAAATGCATCCTTTGCCATTTCCAAAAACTTCTTGGAGAGAAAAAGATCCACTGGAGTTGGTGCATGCAGACATATGTGGTCCGACCAAACACAATCACTCAACAACAAATGATACTTTCTACTATTGATATATAAATTCACCATATGATGTTGGTATTCTTTCTGGAGCAAAAGTCAGAAGCCTTTTCCAAGTTCCTTCAATTGCAAGCCATAGCTGAGAAGGAAAGCCACAACAATTTATGGAGAAGAATTTATTTATACTCTATTCTTGGAGTAATGTTGAAACAATGAAATTAAAAGGCAGCTGATTGTCCATTACACACCACAAATAAATGGCGTAGGAGAACAGAAAAACCACATGATTGAGGAGATGGCGAGAAGTATGTTCAATGCAGAAAATCTTCCCATTAATTTTTGGTCGGAAGCAGTCAATACAACAATTTACATCCTCAACAGATTACCAACTAAAACAGTTCGGAACAAGATGATACATGCTTGGCACCATAGGAGGCCGTACTTGGATAACCTGAAAGTATTTGGGTGCATAATTTATGCGCATATCTCTACCCCAAATCAAGACAAGTTTGACCAAAAGAGAGAGAAGTTTAGTTTCACTAGCTATAGTGGTGAATCCAAAGGCTATCGATTTTATAAGCCAGTGAAGAATGAAGTGGTGGTTTCTCGAGATGTGATCTTTGATAAGATGGCAGAGTGGAGTTGGGAACAACCAATTTCTCAATCTCCATAAAAAACCCAACAACTCTAGAAGACGCCAGCAACCAACCTAATCTTGTTTCAAGTCTAGAAAGGAACTCAATAGGCACTATAGGAGGAGACAACATTAAAGACGTCACTCAGATTCACCAATTTTAAGGACAAGATCCTTAGATATTTAAAAAAAGTTTTAATCACGGTTATTCTACTAAGACATTGGTCTTATAGCGTTCTTCCATGATTCACGTTGAGAAATCCCAAAAATAAAAAATATATGACGTACCTTGATATGATCCCAAATTTTCTTTTAAACAAGGTTCAATTACTTGTCCAAAAATCCACCCATGTTGGAAGGAAAAAGGGAAGAATTTGGTTAAGTGTTCGACCAGTTTCGTGGTGTCTACTTTGGAGGTTTGTATCTTACATTATAATCGATGGAAATTAAAGAAAAATGATTTGTATTGAAGAACAAGTGTTGCTTTACATGTTGGAAGAATTGGTTGTCCAGAATCAAGTCCTCAAGGCCATTTTCCAAAGCCCAAAAGTTGCTATCTCAACACAGAAAACTTCCAAGAATAGACCAAGTCTGGAGACAGTTAGAGCTACCTACTAAGTCTGGAGCACAGTCGAATGGAGATGGGAGCTAGGACATATAGCTGGAGACTTGTTGAAGAAACGAATGAAGCTTGATTGGCTTGAATCTCGATGGAAAGCTTTGAAAGAGAGCTGCCAAGTTGCTATGAAGGCTGTCTAGGTTACTTGCGCAGGAAAACAGGCTGCTTACAACTAGAGTTTCCTTGTTCTTTCTGGATTTGGAGTGTTCCTATTAAGGATTTCGATTTGCGTTGAGATTGTTTCCTAGTTAGATTATGTTTCGTTGTTAGACTAGAGGTAGATGTGTAATTGTAATCTATTTAAGGGTTTAAGAGCCTCGTGTAATAGTTAGTTTTTGATTGAATGAAAAAGTGACCTTGTCACCCAAAACCCTATCGTGTATTGGTTGTGTTCCAGCAATGAAATTGCTTCGCATCGATTGAAATCACATCAATCGTGGCCGAGCTTCGATCGAACCCAATCGAGCCTCTTCCCTAGTGTGAAGTTGCACCTCCGTTTTAGTTTTAGTTTCAGTTTCACAAATTTATTTAAGTTCTATCGATTGAATCTCAATTGCATGACTCTAATAATCAAAAGCACGGAGTTAGCTTACATCAAGTGGCATCAGTAGCCTAGTTCAACACAGTGGCAACAACGAAGAAGAAGAATTTACCTGTCTCTGCAAGAACAAAGCACAGGGATGCAATTGCCCTGCGAAAACCAGACAAGGATGAATCCAGCTCCGACGAGGAAATGCAGGACGAATAAGCTTCAATGGCGGGTCAGTTCGACACCACCAAGTTCTTAGAGTCCAGCACTACGCATATAGGACTGGTATTCCATGCCCAGTTTAACAAGATAGATCGGTAGTTGGGGCAACAAGGCCAGAGACTCGATGCCTTATCTCCGACAATGAAATAAGGGAATCTTTGAACTCAGGCAGAGGATCGGGAACATCGCAACGCCAATACCGCCAGTCATGAGTTAATGGCGCGACTTGAGGAGCTCGAGCAGCAGCTAGTAGTGGCTAATCTTGAACAGGGACAACGATTCTTCCCAGGCTATTACCAACGTGAACTCCATGAGTCCTTGCAAGGGATTAGACAAGGATCACGGGGAGTGAAAGAGTATTTTCGAGAATTGGATTTGTTGATGATGAGGGCCGACCTCAGGGAGGATATGGAGGCCAACGTCGCACAATTTCCCCATTGGTTAAATCGAGAAATTAGACACGAAATTGGCTTAAATCATTCATTGAATTGGAAGAAGCAGTTCATCTGGCGATCAAGATTGAAAACAACAGAAGATGTTTATGGGAAGGAGCTTTTCGAATGCTAAGATGGGAACAAAAAGTTCAGCCAAGGTGAGCAAGCTTGAAATTGTAAAACCTGCTCCAAGAAATCTGGCACCAGCGCAGCAGGAGCGGGTTGGGGCCTCTAGTATTCATGGACCAGGAAACCGGATCGTACCGGCCGGTTCAACCGGTAAAACCGGAAACCGGACCAGGAACGATACGGTAGGCTGTTTGTGGGAAGAATACCGTGCCGGCCGGTTTTTCCGGCTTAACCGGTACAAAACAAAAAACCGTCCGGTTTTGGTCTAACCGGCGGTAAGCTGTAGGAACAAAAACTACGTCGTTTTGGCACATAAAATAGTAAAAATAAAAAAAAAAAATAAATCGGCCAAAAACACAAAAACCCTAATCTATCAAAAATCTGGAGCCGCTTTCATTTCCTGCGTTCTTTCTTCTCCAGCCGTCCAGCGCAACCCCGCCCCATCGCTCCAGCTCAACCGGCGACCCCCG